TCTTGAGCTTCTTAAAAGGGCTCCCGCAAGTGAAGTCGGGGCCTATCTCAGGCTTTGAGTAGAAAGGAGGCTTTGTGTACTTGATCGGTTCACGCCATCCTCCAGGTTTCCCAGCCTAGTATCCTTAGGGACCTTAGGGATACTTGGGGATTGTAAGGGGAATATTGGGGGGGTTGCCTCTTGATGATTCTGTTGGGATTCTACTGAGAAACTCGCATGCCAAGCTTGGCAGGTTTAACCAGCCAAAGGTTCCTGATGCAAGACAACTATACCCCTCCCCCAGAATCCCAAATATTGGCTCTTTGGCAACCTGTCAGACATGAACACCATAGAAGACCTATGTCTGTGGCACTGTGGCACATGGTTAGGCCCGTTCCCAGCCCTAAACCCCTAAATCCTGAAACTCCTAAACGCATGCAAAACTATATATCCCTACATACTGCCACATACCCCTTTAACAAAACATCCAGGCCTCATGCTCAGGTCAGGCATCACACAGGAGACTGAGCTGGGCTTAAGCCCGAAGAAGAACTCCTAAGCTGTTCAATTGTTTTCAACTCTTAGGGTCTATGTTTTAGGGTTCAGGGTTCAATTGGTTTAAGGCTTAGGTGCCAGTAAATCTCTAGGGTCCTTTTTCCAAAAGCTTTTTTTCTACATTCCTCTTACACACCCCTGCTTGGGTTGGATGTGTACTAGAAGCATGCCAGAACGAACGAGCAAAACATGACATGGTAGTTTCCTTTCCACAGATGACGGAAAACGGTCAATATAGTAGCTTCTGCTTTTTTCATAAAGGAAAAGAGGAATGGAAACTACTACTGTAGGACTACTCATTTTTGTGAGCCCTCGACTAAGTTTGAAAAAATATTCCTGAAAGGTCCACCCAAAGCCCCCTATGTATGCCCCTAGAGGTCCCCCCAACCTAACTTTAGTCCGTAGCTCGTGTATAACAAAAGAAGAACCACTTAGCTGCCTAGAATCTGCCTTCAACCCTCGCTGCATGCTTGAGACCTCAGCGGCTCAGGCAGTGCCAATGTGATTGCTATCTGACTAGTGTTGGTATTACAAATGGATAGTCAAAGGGAAAATGAAATTGAAACTGGGGATATAAACACCATTTTAGGGTTTAGGGCCTTTGAATATTACACCCAATGATGGAGAATCACATGGAAACGAAGTGGAAAATGCCATGGCTAATGGGGTTATGTAGGGGGTGATACTGTTGATACTATGGCCTTATTACACTACAGACTCTCAAGGTGTAGGATACTGAGAGTCATGCAGGAATTTTAGTAACCACCGCAGCGTGTGCAGAAATGGTATGCAGCGGACCCAACCAAAACTGAGACCTGCTTTTTGGAGACAACCCGTAATTAAGGTCGGCAACATTTAGGAACCCTAGGAAGCATTTAACTATAGGCATTTAACTTCTTTACAATAAGAACCCCTACCTCAATATTTAAATGCTTGGGTTTAAATGCTTCCTAGTCCCCCTAAAACATATGGCAACATCATCCAAGTCTCCGACGAATAAAAAAAAACTAAACTTCCACTGCTATCAACTCCGAGCTAAAACCCCTTCATCATACAATCGGGTGCCCGGCTTTCTGCGAGCTGTGCAGGTTGAAGTATCTGAGTCAAGCTTGCAGGCCCCAACGAAATGCATGTCTTATGGTCATGATATCTGTTTTGTCGCGAGGTTTGAAGCAAAAAGAAACTCCTTCTGAAACCTGGCCTGGGTACATGAGACCCATGGCACGGGCCGGGATCAGCTGTGCGGTATCACCAGGTTGACACAACTTATGGACGATGATCTCCTTGCCACTGCACATGTAACGGAAACGGCGCCATGAACCTGCTGCTACCAGAACTCTTGATTTTCTAGGTGGAAATGTTAATTGAAAACAGATATCCAGGAAGGCTAGTTAGGGGCTCGCGCGCAAGCTTCAAAACCCCGCATCCAAAATCCTGGAGAACCCTCTGGAAATCGGGCTGGAAATCTACAATCTACCGAAGCCCCTATATCATACTATGCTGTCTTAGGTGCCTATCTTTGCAGGTCCTTGTTCTCGTGCATGCCGTAGGCAACACAACGCTCGCTGCCTTCGGGTGTGGGCACAACTTTGGGCTTAGGGCTCACGTATTAGGACTTCGGGTTTAGGGCGTAGGATTGAGGATTTAGGGTCTAGGCTTAGGGTTTACGATTTAGGGTAAATCTTCTGTGAACAGCTCTGCGTAGGGCTCAATCATCAGTAGACGCCTTACGAGTACTACCATCATGAATCTCAACATGGACGCTTCCAAGAAGGCCCCCTTCTGGGCACGCCCGCAAGAAGGAATATAGAATTTTGCTGTATATATGTAAAGGAGGCCCCTTCTTTGGAACTACCTATATTTCTGCTCTTCTTCCTGTATGATCAAACTTTGCCCTGGCACGACCAGCACCGGCGCCGCTGGCAAGTACCAAGTGACGGCCTTGGCCCACTGGGGCTCGAGGTCCGCTACGGATCAAAGAGTTTTTTTTCAAAATTGCCGCTAGCACTCCTGGGGGGGGCCCCCAATGTGGGGACGTTTAGACTTTCCCTTTGTCGGCTCCTATATTTGCATTACAAACCTGACAATACGTGCCCTAAATTTCTTGGAGTTCGCACTGATGTTGCAAAGCTTGAACCTGCAGCTCAAATTGCGCGCGAAATCACGAAACCGCCCTTACGTTTAGATGGCTCTGAAACCGCAAACACCGTAAATCCTTGCGTGTTCTGCTGAGTTACTCTCAGGATCAGAGTCTGACCGTTTCTCCACGCGGAATGATGATGGACATGTGCTGGCCATGGGCTGGGGACGGGGCTAAGGGATCGAGGCTGAGGGTTGAGTTAGGAAGTAATAATAAGACTACGAGTAAGAATAGTAATAGCAATAATGACAGCAATAATGGTACTTAGCGCAATACAGTAGTAATGGTCATGTTGAACGTGCCTGGATTCCACAAGGTTCATCTCGTTCGCAGCTGTGGATCTGCAAATGATGACTGCCGAACGCATGCAGGCCTGAGTCGAACGGGCGGCCCGCCGCTCAGGTAAATGGGCGCGACAGATGGTAAACATATGCTTACTGGTTCTGAGTAGGGAATAATGGAAAATTACCATCTAGGGGTTTCCAGTATTCCCTTTTTCCCTACTAAGCACCAGTGAGTATGATAGCTTTTGATAACCAGCTTTTACCTCGAGACCGGTGGCGTCTAAGTGCAAACTGCAGCCCCTACGATTCTGCCTCGTGCAGCCCGCATCTCCCTGGGCAAATCCGAACCCACCATCAAACCTTCAATGCGCGGTTGGGGAGTTGTATTGTAGTTGGGAAAGGGACGGACACCAGCCAAGTTGCCCAGCCATGGAAATGGAAGTGGGTCAAGCGGATAAACCGAGCCTCAGGTGGGCTTTAGGAAAAGGGTGACCTATGCATAGCGCAATAACCTAGGGCTTGTCTTATAAGGATCCACGAAAGGATCACGAGTTTGTAGAGGATCCCCCAAGTTTGAGCTCTTGGAACTTAGAGAGCTCGACAGCCCTAAATTTCTGACAGTCTTCAGAGACAGCGATCAAACTACTTTGCGTGTAGCTGCCTGTTCACGCTGACTTGAAGGCTTGAAGCCAGACACCTAGTTTACGAGCCATATCCCATGCCATTCTCCAAGACTCACAAAGAATAGGCCCGTCCCTCGTTGCCCCGAGAAAAGAACCCTTGCGTTGGCGCATGCTTGCTTCAAAGCATTTCAAGGCCCTGCCCCCCATATGAGGCCGCCGCTTGAACCGGCGCGGCGAAGAAGGCTCTGGACTTCTCGTCAGGACCGGAAACGCCAGTGAATATGTTGTCAATGGCGTTCCTGCATACGCTGGTTCTGGGCCCTCACCCGAACTGTAAACTCTAATCCTGAGGTTTAAGTTAGGGTTGCTGGAGTGGCATGGAAAACACCAGAACTTCAGTTGAGTGGCCAGTCGCTTCCCACATCTTGCTTGTACTGGACCTTGAAGCTCCACACCCAGTCCTGGCAAATACTGGACCCTAGGGATATGTAGAGAAAATCACAGATGAACTACAGGCGGGTGGACGTCAATTAGGGATTGTGTAAGGACTATTTGCGAACTACACCGGGAAACGCCTTGTACGCTTCGAAGAAGTACAACTCATGATGCTGGGACCTCATCAATGAGCGAAGAGTCTGGCCCCTAGTGTTTAGCATAATTTCCATGGTCCTGTACCATAGATTTTGTGGCCAAATCCACGACTGAGGGTAGGCGCGTTGTTTACCCCAGATTGCTCCTGGACTCCATCGTGGGGATATTTCCCCTGGAGCACGACTCCACCAACCGACTTGATACCCTGCACAAGAATCAACACGGGGGAGGTTTCGATTTTTCCACAACTAGGACGCATTTCATGTCTGGGAGCTTGTGCAAAGGAAAAACCTTGTGCTGCTGCAGCGTGCCCAAAGAATGTAGTTCTGTACACTGCGCCCTTCAGCACAACAACTCATATGCCTTACCTCTTCAATGAAAGAGCCTAGGCACCTTCAGGTCAAACTGCATCCAGTCATCCAATGCTTCCTTCCTCAGCTGAAGGGGCTGTATTCGTGGAGCTTGCACCTGCAGTCCTTTAGATTCAATATGCAATGCGTGTCTGCAAGATACTCCTCCAGATCTGGGGCCCCAACCCATTGAAGCGAGAACCATCAGGGCAAAACCCACCCACATTGTTGTCGAGCATGGATTTGTCAGCATTCCAGGATCCGAGGGTGCTGTACGTCCTCCACAGGCTGAACATCAAACTGCACGTGGCCTTTCGAAGAGCCAGTGACTGAGCCGGCCAGTCAGCTGCTCAGGAATAGGGACATTCCCCAAGCATAGTGGCTGGTTTTTTTTGGACCTTTGGTTTGGCAGGGCATTCCCATACAGTGAATATACGTGCAGGAGACGTTAGGACGAAGCCGAAGATACAAGTGAACCAGAAACTAGAATCAAGCCTGACCTGGTTTCGTGTTTCGTGTTTCGGGGGCTAGGCTGAGGCTTTGCGGGATCTGAGGGCACTTCTTTGCGTGTTGGAGCCGTGTTCCGTTTAACTTGCTTGGAAGGGAACTCAGCCCGCCCAAGACGGTCCACCCGAGACTTCCAAACGCAGATCTCGAGCTCCCTCTTGCTACCTAGGCAGTCCTGTCAACTTCTGGAATGTTGAGGACTTCGTAGATGCATTTGTCGGCTTGGCCTTCGGCGACCTTGGAATCCAGCACACAGCAAACTTTGACCATTACGCTCGTGGGATTTTACATTTTTCCTCAGAGAGTCGACTCGTTTGGGTGTAGTCCTGTACAATCACGGGATGGTTCCTTTACAGTGTGCCCGCCTTCTGCCGCAAGTAAGCCGAGGCCTGTGTCATCTCCTGGCATAATGACACATGTAGCAGAAGTGGCTTGTAGCTCATGGTCAAACACTCTTGGAGGCTTTTGGATTTTGAAAGCGCAGAGTTGACACGATCCTCCAGGGAAAGGCCATAGTTCCAGGTCATCAGCTCCATCACAGCCCAATCCGAAACATCCTCTGCCTTGAGGCCTTAGATCCATTCAAATTCAATCCACCTCTGGCGGAGAGTTCTAGAAGTTCTTCCAAGAAAAAATACCGTTTGCAAGGCAAGGCCTGCGGAAGTAAGCCTGCTTGTGGCAATGATGTAACAAGGCCGACTCCAGCGCGCTCGGATAATGTCACGTAACCGGAAACCTTCCTATGTGTGAACTGCGCAGCTTTTTGACAAGCGTGGGTTGTGAGTGACAGATTCTGGTTGAGCCTTTATAAGGTAAGTATTTGTTCATTTAAGGGTGACGGAACAGGGTTTTAGCATTGGGTTGGGGTTACCGGTGAGCTTTACCATTGAGGTTTAGGCTGCTGGGGCTAAGGTTAGACTTGCAAATTCCGCTCATTTAAGCTCATTTGCCGGGATTTAGAGTTAAGCTTCGGATTTCCAGCACGGGCGGAAATTCGTTGCTTCGGCTTTGTAGCCCTGGCGTTTAGGGTTTAGGGTGTTCGGGGTGTCCTTGCTTCCTGCTGTCATTGTTGATTCAAACAATTATCGACTGATGCTTTGCTTGGGTGAGATGCTAAACCTGTTCTTCTTATGCACCGCCGCTGCACACGCCCGCGGTCATCGCCGCCGCTGCCCGCACCACCACCGCCAACCCCACCATTGCTGGCACTGTTGCTGCGCTCTCCTGAAATCTCCTGAACACCTCTACCAAACCTATGAAAACTGCTGCTGCCGCCTCTAGTATTACATGTAAGGACTAACAACACTTCAAAACAAGTTTTGGCAAGCTGCCCTGGTTGATGGCCAGGGGCTGTTCGCCACCTCGGCTTCAGTGAGACTTTCAGGCCTGGAGCCTTGAGCACCGCGAGTCAGAAGTCGGAAAAACCATGAAGGCGAATGACACTAGGAACCTCTTCAACTAATCCGTGATGAGCCAACTGCTTATGAAGCTCTCTGCCGGTCAACCTCTGACAGTCAAGATCTGTCAGGGTTAAGGAAGTCAGATGGCTGGCAAAACAAGGGGGTGGGACGTGAAGGTCAAAACTGGGTTCTGGAGGCATTGCTTTGATGAACCTATTTGTGATCCCAGCTACGGCTCGCCTTTGAGGTTATTACCTCGAACCGTTGTGATGGTTCCTAGTGGCAACAAATCCGAAGCCTGGACAAGTCAGTGCTTCACCGGCCTCTGCGTGATCCTTTACCGCGTCCCACGTTGCTTCCTTGCGGCTCCAGTCTCAAGGTTCAAGGGTTAAAGGCTTGGCCCTTTAAGAGACCGTCGTGATCCACGCGCATTGTCCACTCCAGGCCCAATGAGCGGGGTTTCCTCCAAAAGAAGCCCCAGAACCACTCGCGCACAGGTTTGTGGAGTTCGAGAAGGGGCTGAAGAATCGGAATTTCATTTGGTACTTCTTATCATAGAAATCGCCTTACAGTAGAAGTTCTGGATATGCATTCAGGCTCTTCTTGTACTAGTGGTCATAGAGAGCCTGAGACGTCACAGCAGACAAGTCCATGCTGATTCAGTGCAGCTCAGTGGCCGTCAACAAGCCTTAAGTGGTGCAATCTTCAGGAATCACTGTCGCAACTCCTAAGGGCCATTCCTGAGTAGTAGCTTTGGGCTGTCTGGAAGCTGCAAAACTGAAATTTTAACTGATCATCTTGCCAAGAAGCACATAGTCTCGCACATTTGAAGCACAGACCACAATCCAATTCGTGGAGCCCAGGTTTCTCTTGGGATCCGTCTGCCATTCCGTGCCGTAGAAAACCACACCTGTGGATCTCTTACATCGCTGCCCCCGCAGCCCCCGTCCACTCGTAGGGAATCAAAGAATGCACTACCATCTTCTTGGGGAGTTGTAGGGATCCAGTCCTCCACTCCCTACCCGACAGTAAGGAAAGTCCAATATACTTTCTACGTGTTCTAATTGTGTAGTCTGGCTTGATCTGGCCCTTTGCAGCTCATTGAGGCTTCATTCGTTAGCTTGCCTGCCAAGATTCCCTAGAAATCTTTGCACAGCTGGCTTGACCCTTGCAAGAGCTTAGATGCGGTGACATCCTGACCTCTAGGCGTCCAGCTTCTGCAGCTGCGCAGATGCCACCCGCTCATGCAAACCGCATGAACCGAGAAAAGCCGATAAAATGGTCACCGCACGCGCACAAGTCGCCACGTTTGGTTCAGGAAGACAGCAACGACGACGACGCACACCGACGACGACGACGACAAGAACAATATGATCCAGAGATCTCCAGACTGCCCGTGACTTCAGTACTAAACCCAATCCTGGGGTCTGCAACGTGCATCAGGCTTCATTGGAGAGGGTCGTGCCCCAACTTTTGGATCTGCGCGATCGTTCTCCCTTACCTCACCATATTGGGATTGGTGTTGAAACGAGACTAAGAGCGCGCAACAAACCAACCAACATGCAGAGCAACAGTGAAGTTGCGACTAGATCGTGGCCTTTGGCAGGTTTTGTGGATCCCAACTTTTGCCTGCGTTGCCATCTTCGTGCCCATGAGCGACGTCCATCCTGACATGAGCCACGGAAAAGCTTTACCAGCACTGGCAGGTAGGCACCGACCCCAAGACCGAAAATGCATCCTACATGGCATTGCCCATGACAGCTTCTAGGCAGAGTCAGACGCTCATGTGAATCCATGCCAAGGCTCAGATCCACTTGCAAGATGCGGCCCTTGTGTTCTGCAGCTAGATATCCTCAGCTTATGGGCTTCTCTCCCAACCAAGGGTGACGTCCCTCATGAAGGGCTTTCGGAAGCAGAGCACACCACTCTCTAGCTGCTGTGAAGGCATATGGGAATACTACTCCGGCAGTTGAAGCTGCAAGAATCCCACAGAACAAGGAGGCTCTTCAAAGCCCTGGGTTTATGGCATGGGCTCAAGCTCGGGGTGTCTGAAAAAAGCCTTGTACTACAAATCATCCACCAGAGCTACGTAAGTCTGTTGCATGACAGAGAGCGCGTAACGGAGCAAATCGTGTACTCTTGCTTCAGAATGGGCCCAAACGAGTATTTCGTCCTGCCACAAAATCAAAAGACTCTGGATTCCGAGGAGGGGCGTAAGGCAGGATGCAGTGTCCAGGCTTTCAGTTGCCTATTCTAGCCTCAGGGGGGGTACTCTAGGGGGGGGATTACATTTTTGAGCTTCATATCGAAGATTACATGGGAATCGGCTTTTAATATTACCTGACCTTACGTAGCATTTTTAATCCACGGCCCTCGTCTCGTTCGCCTTGTTATATTTCATCTTGTATTGTACCTTGACAAAGTCAGCTGATCTGGCTCTCCATGTCGGAGTATATACTTGGCTCATATTGCAGAGGAAACTGTGGCCTATCTCGTTCACTCCACGGCCCCTATTTACTTCCCAGACGAATGCTAAACCCGGATGCAAAAACACCAACGCGCCTAGCCTTCTACTCTCTTACGCAAATAATGCGGCTGCTCACATGTCAGCACATGTCAACATCTCTGGCACCTTCCAGCCAACCTTCACAGTTCAGCAACCGCAGTTCCCAAATGAATGTGGGTCTCTAAAAAAAAGGTATGCTTTCTGGCAAACGTCGCTTTTAAATGACCCCATGCATTTTCATAACATCAAAAACCGATGGCCGGGGTAAAGGTAAAGACACCATCATCTTGTTCACGTCTCATTCGGCAGAAGAATGACAAGAAATGTTGCCTCAGACAAGGGTTCTTGAAAGCCTATTGACCGCCTCGCCGTTCGGGAGTCTCCAGCTGATCC